GAGAACTCAGCATTGTGTTCTGCTTATGCTAAGGATGAATAACGATGTATGTAAGCAGCTTCCTTGACTTCTAAAGTTTAAGCTGTAAAATGTGGACTGCATCAAGACTCTTTCTCCCCCCCAAGAAGATATTTAGCAATATTTTATATAAAAGGAAAATTAAAATGTTCCTAGATTCTAATATTTAAATACATATATACAAATCTTAAAAGGCAAACAAAGCAACAATGTATATTTCTTTCATTTACTGTCACTATCAGTTAATTTACATATTTCATTTTCAGGGTTAGTCACTCCCTTATTCCCTCTTAAAGTCTTGTATTGTCAAACACATTAGATATGGATACCATTATTGTTCTGTGACAGCTTAAGTTAGCAGAATTATAATTATAGGGAGAGGAAAATAATATGAATTTCTAAATGTGTTAGATATAGGGACAATATTTCCCATAATTTTGAAATGCAAATAACTTACTTCCCCTAGGTCATAGTCAAGCTGAATGGTTCCCATATGTTATCATTAGAATTCACTATAGATAAATTTAGAGATAACAATCTCTTACTAGAGGTGGGGATGGCAAGCTATCTTGTGGATACTGCTTGATCTGTATACCAAAGTGAGTATAACAAAGTTCTTGGTGGCACCCCTGTTCCTCTTGAAAGTAGCCTCTAAATCATATTGGAACATCTTGAATACAAGTTGGATGTTTTCTTCATGTATGTACTGATTGATTGGAAGGGATTAATAACAAAATAGTGATACTTTTTATTTGTGTAAAATTTCTGGTTACATATATGAAGCACAGTAGACCCATGATTTATGCAAGTATTGCGTTCTGAGGGAATTTCGTGTAAGTCAATTCACAGAGGTCAGGACGACTTTCCCCATAGGAAATAATAGAATAGTGAGGGGTTGCATACCCCAGACATACCATAGTCATAGCTTTTATTCCCTTTTTCTCAGCAGAATTGCCTTTGGGAGGCACGTCTAGTGTCTCACCTATGCATCTTGAGATGCTGCTACCACAATGGTGGCACAGCTCTGCTTGATTCCGCCTGCAAATCTTGTGAGGCGTTCGCATATATACATGAATCTCATGACCGTTTGTGTATATATGTGAATGATGTGCCTCTCGAGGGGCATTTTCAAGTCCAGGCCCTAATAAAAAAATTGTGTAAATGCGAGACATGCGTAAGTTGAAATCACATAAATTGGGGGTCTACTGTACATTAATTAGAAAAAACCTTCCTGTAATTAACATTTCAGTGCACAATATCAGTTCTCAAGACCAGAGCTTTCAATGTTGTAGCTGAAATCCGTTAGTAGTTTATAGATCATTTTTCTAATTGGAGCATGTAACACGGTGCCTGCGCAGGGCCGATCTCCGTGGCCCGCCCACCTGTTCTTGGGCCAACCACCTGTCTTCTCGCCCGCCATGCCTTGATGTTAATTGATTAATTAATAGATGTCAATTAAGTGGTAGGCTGCCCATTTTGCTGCCCCGATGTCAGGGGGCACTCTCTGCGGCTCCTTTCCTTCCCTCCCCCACAGCCCAAGCCTCGCAGAACCAGGCCACACACTCCCAGCAGGGTGCAGTTTTAGGTCATGCCCAGAACCAGGAGCCTCCTTACCGTCCCCTACAGCTCCTCCCTTACCTCCAGATGTAGATCTGCGGCCCTCCGGCCAGGTGGTGTTGTTGCCTGCTTTCTAGCAGCCGAACTGCCCTGTTTATATAGACAGCCCCTGACTCAAAATGGCTGCCCTCATCAGGCACCTGGTAGCTGCCAGCTCCAGGCCCTTAAAGTGGTAGGCACACACAGTGCCCTGCCACATACCTCCCCCCTTACCTTTTTACACTGCCTCTTGCAGCCTGTTCTTCCAGCCCCCTTTATTACACCAGCCATTGGCCCCACTCTGGGCACTTGGCTCTGGTGTTTTCCAGCCTCTCATTATTTTTTTTCTGTGCCCCTTGCACACCATTGGACTCCCAGTCCTCTCACTGCCCCCTCACACTGGGGCTTCTCATTCCTGCCCCTCTCTCTGGGCTCACCACACCCGCAGTGGGGATTCTCATCAATGCCCCCTCTCTGGGGCTTCTCAACTGCCCCCTGTCTTGGGGCTCACCACACCCACACTGGGCTTCTCATCAATGCCCCCTCCCTGGGGCTTCTCAACTGCCCCCTATCTTGGGGCTTCTCTCTCACACTAGGGCTTCTCATCACTACTACCGAAGGGGGGGGCGAATACAGGTTGCAACTGTGCACGGCCATTGGATTGATATTTCCCAGCCAATGCACCATTGTAACGGGGCCTGCTCAGGGCCGATCTCCATGGCCCGCCCACCTATTCTTGGGCCAACCATCTGCCTTCTCACCCGCCATGTCTTGATGTTAATTGATTAATTAATAGATGTATATTAAGCGGGAGGCTGCCCATTTTGCTGCCCCAATGCCAGTGGGCACTCTCTGTGGCTCCTTTCCTCCCCTACACCGCAGCGCAAGCCTTGCAGACCCAGGCCCCCCACTCCCGGCAGGGTGCAGTTTTAGGTCATGCCCAGGACCAGGAGCCTCCTTACCATCCCCTACAGCTTCTCCCTTACCTCCAGATGTAGATCTGCAGCCCTCCAGCCAGGCGATGTTTTTGCCTGCTCTCCAGCAGCCGAACTGCCCTGTTTATATAGACAGCCCCTGACTCAAAATGACTGCCCTCATCAGTCACCTGGTGGCTGCCAACTCCAGGCCCTTAAAGTGGCAGGCACACACAATGCCCTGCCACAGAGTGATATAGATCAGGAATTACATCTGTTTCCTGTTCTTTTACTTTTTTCATTGAAATCCTTATTGCACATATTTGTGGCACATTAAGATTTCCACTAAGCAAGAAGAGACTGAGAGTGAAGAGATTACCAGGGCACTGAGAGTACAATGTATGCCATAGAATTCTACCTAGTCTGGGGTATGTTAGCCTCATTTGAGACCAGACTAGTTTAGGGGGATGTGTCCATGGTGGAGAGTAGAAGACTTGTGAGAAAAGCTCCACAATCCTGAATGCATCCCACTTTTTCTCACAACAGCATGTCCCTGCCTGTGCCCCTTTAAAAGAATAAGATTTATTCCCTGGCACTAAGTGTCTAGTAGGCAAGGGTACCTGTGGAGCTCATGGAGCCCCCTTAACCCGAGGTGCAGCATATCAGGCAGTTGCAGTGTCACTGGGCACTTCCTCCCTGGAGGCTCCTTCCCCTGTGGCTGCTAGTGGGGAGCTGCCTTACCTAGTTCCAGCCTGGGGTTTATAAGGGCCCAGGGCCCTGCTCCTTCTGGTCAGCTGACCAGGTTCTGGTGCAGGCTAATTTGCTCTCTAGCCTGTTGCCCTGGTAACCTGCACCTTTGGGCTCTCTCCCCAGGCAGTTTCTGCTCTTCTAGAAGCAGGCACCTTAGTGCCCTGCGACACTGTTGCAGATTCTAAGCCGGCATGTGGCGGGGGCAACTTGTATATGGAAAGCCACCCATTTGCTCAGTTTCCTCTTCCCTACCCCTCTTGCAGTATTTTTTTTTTTTTTTATGTTGTTGCTTAGGGCTGCTTAACTGGCAGCCTGCAGGCTGCTTGCAGCCCACAAAGGGTTAAATTGTGGCCCTTAGTCCTGGTCACCCCCCCCCCCCCCGCCCTCCCACACAGTGCGTAC